GACCCTCCTCTTCAGCAGGGCTTTCCTCAAACCCCCTGCCCTGTGGCTGTTTCCCTGGCAGTAATTTGGGGAAGGCCATGGGGACAGGGGTATTGGGGTGGAGGGAAAAGGCAACAATAGCAGTTGTTTAAAAAGCCTTGAGTTGGCTAATAATTGAGTCAGCTGCCGTTACTCCCATTCACTAAGCCAGTGATTCTCAAAATGTGGTCCCTGAGGGAGCAGCATTAGAATCACCAGGATCTTCGTAGAGACGTATATTCTCAGGCCCTATTTCATAGTTACTGAATCAGATGCTCCAGGAATGGGGCCCAGAAATCAATAATTTAATAAGCCTGCCAGGTGATTCTGATGCCCGCTATAGTTTGAGAACCATGGAGTCAAGCAAACCATTCACCTATTCAGCCTTAATCTTGCTTCCCTCCTGAATGAATAGGATAGTCACAGAATGGGTGGGTGGGGGAGGAAGGCTTGCAATAAGTCTCACGATCAACCTCAGCCAGGGAGAGCCAGCCAGTTAGCTCCTACCTGTCCCAGCTCTGCCTGGTGGGCTGGGTAAGACGGAACACGGGCCCCAAGTTGCACCCAGGCAGGATGGGCAAAGGTGCTCCAGTAAGTGGCTGCCAGTCTGGCCTCTCTGCTAGGGCGATTGTAGAGGACCCAAGCCAGTCAGCTCCTGAGCAGCATCTATACTTTGTAGATGGGGAAACTGAAGCCTCAGAGGGGGCCAGAGACCATCTTTAGACTGTCCTTATTTGTTGTATGAAGAAAGTCACGTGCTAGTTCCAGCAGACACTCCAGACCTCAGCTGTCCCTGTCTCCTCCATCCCTAGGCCCCAGATATGATCTCCCTTCTACTGTCCCCCAAGTGGGTGTCTGTGTAGGACCCCTCAGGAAGGCCAAGGCAGCTTGGGCCCCAGCTCTGCTATGGATTCACTGAGTAATCTTGAGCAAATCTGTCCCTCCCTGGGCCCCATTGCCTCATCTGGAAGATAGGGGTAATTATTCAGCTGCCTGGAACACAAGATGCACTCTATCAGACAAAGTATATCTGTTCAACTGTATTGAGCATCTGACCTCAGCCAGTGTATGAAGGCTGGGGGAGGTGAAGTTTAGGGTTTTTTAAAACGGTGTCTACCAAATGGAGCTGGTCAAGGTCAGAGACTTGCCTTCTCTTTCCTTCTCAGGAAGGATGCTGGGGACACTGAGGGGTCAGGGATGGATGTGCTTAGAGCTTTGCGAGCCTCCTCAGTGGGCACAAACTGGGGAGTTTGGTGACATGATGTTTTGATGTTTGTTTAGGGTGAATTCTGCTGTTCGTTTACTCAGTCTATGAAAAAATAAATAAAGCAGAGTCAGGGGAGACAGGTTGGGGATGGGGCCATTCCTTTGGAGAGGGGGTGGTTGGGGAAGGCCTCTCCAAGGAAGTGATGTTTAGACAGAGATCTGGATGAGTAAGGGAGCAATAAATAGGCAGAGGAAATAGCAAAGCAAGTGCAAAGCTGGAGGTGGAAAAACTTCTGATGTTTTCCAGGAATGGAAGGGAGGTAGAGTGGCTGGTGCACAGTGATGGAGGGGCTGGCGGGAAACAGATCAAGTTCAAGGGCAGGGTGGGGCCGGATCTCACAGGGCCGTGCTGGACTCGCTGAGGAATTTGACTGCCTCTCTCTAAGTGCGATGGGAAGTCAGGGGAGAATTCTGAGGAGAGTCCTGGCTTCCGGCTTTGCATTTGTAGGAAGATCACGCTGATTGCTTTGAAGAGGGCGGTCATGGTTGGGCCAGGGTGGAGGCAGGGAGACCAGTCAGGGGCGAGATGATAGTGGTTAGTCTGTCCAGGGCTACATTCTGAAGTTAGAGCCCACAGTAATTGCTAAAGGATGAGGCGTGGAGGGTGAGGGAAAGGAAGTGTCAGGGTAACTCTTAGACATTTGGCCTGAGCCCCTGGGTGGAGGGTGGTGCCCTTCCTGAGATGGGGAGACTGAAGAGGAGCAAGATTTGAGGGCAAATCGAGAGTTTGCTTTTGGACACGTTCAGTTTGAGAGGTCCCTGACATCCTAGAAGAGACGTTGATTGGGCCATTGGACCGGTGAGCTGGACTCCGGGGAGACGCTGCCACACCCTCACACCTGCGCAGTGGACGAGGCTATTGTGGTAAAGGGTAGGGGCAGGATTTAAAGTGTTTTATTCCCCCATTTGTATTTTTAAGGAAATGCACTTTAAAATTTATATTAGTTTGTTATTACCCAAGCAGCCCATGTTTTTTTTTTAATTAGGAAATGAAGATAAGCAAAAAACAAAACAAAAGCCAAATCACTCAGTTTTGCTCTGCTGACTCTTGTATGTATATAAAAAAATCTATATTTTTAGAATTGAAGTATAGTTGCTGTACAATATTATATAAATCACAGGTGTACAATATAGTGATTCACAATTTTTAAAGGTTATTCTTCATTTATAGTTATTATAAAATATTGGCTATATTCCCCATGTTGTACAATATATCCTTGTAGTTTATTTTACACATAATAGTTTGTACCTCTTAAACCCTTACCCACTCCCCTTCCCTAGTTTCTTTTCTATATCTGTGAGTCTATTTCTTTTTGGTTATATTCACTAGTTTGCTGTATTTTTTAGGTCCCACATATAAGTGATATCATACAGTATTTGTCTTTCTCTGTCTGACTTATTTCACTTAGCATAATACCCTCCAAGTCCATCCATGTTGTTACAAATGGCAAAGTTTCATATTTTTTATGGCTGAGTAATAGTCCATATTGTATTTATACATCTTTTTCTATTCATCTGTTGATGGACACTTAGATTGCTTCCATATCTTAGCAATTGTAAATGATTCTCCTATGGACATTGGGGTGTATGTATTCTTTTGAGTTAGTGTTTTGGTTTTTTGGATATATACTGAGGAGTGGAATTTGCTAGGTCATATGGTAGATCTATTTTTAGTTTTTTGAGGAACCTCCATACTGAAAAACATCTATATTTTAAAAGTTGAGATCACATTGTCCTTAAGGTTTTCTAATCTGCTTTTTTCACTTAGCTTATTGTGAAGTGGACATTTTATAGATGTGTCACTATTGACATGGAAAGAATAGCGTTGAGGAAAAAAAATTCTTGAGACACTCCACAGGAAGCCCCAAACGTGACCCACTTACCTGAGGTTCTGAGCTGAGGTCAGCTGAGCGATGGAACTGAAGGATTTCTGTTCAGGGCTGGGGTGAAGGTCCGTCGAGATTTGGCAGCAACTCTTCCCAGAGGAGGGGCTGGATGAGACGCCCTCAGGAGGACCCTTCCGCCCCCGAGCCCTGTGTTAGCAGTAGTACCTATTTCCCTGGGATGCAGCTGCTGCCTTTTCTGTGGTTAATTATTGAACCCGAGGAGCTGGTGCTCACCCCCACCTCTCTCTGTGCCTTATGTCTTTGCTGACTCAGCTCTTGCCTGGAATTGGCCAAGGAGGCCTCCTCTTCACTCATTCATCCACAACCCTTTACTGACATGCTGACTACCTCCTCCACCCCGGGGCATGTGCTGGGCTGCAGCCCTATTCCTGCCCTCCAAGGAGGCCAGGAGCCCCGTCCAAGGAGCTGTAAATGGGCCAGGGTGGAGCCCCGCCCTTTCCACGTCTTCCCTTCCATCAGCCCTCACTTTACTGATGACGAGAGACTGGCTCAGAGAAGGTAGGTGACTTTCCTAGGGTCACACACAGCAGGATGGGAATTTGAACCTGGATCTCTCAGACTCCGAGCTCATGCCCTGGCCACGAGGAAACATGAACACAAATGAAGCCATGTGGGCAGTGACTTGGGAGGCAAGCCCTGGGAGGGGGAGTTCTGAAGAGGGAACAGTGGGCAGGGGGCCTCCCAGAGCAGGAGCCCTGGTGTGAGGGGAGGGTGAGCAGTCTCGCCAGGCTTCACCAGTGAGGTGTTTCATGGAGAGTGCAGTGTCAGCAGTCCCAGGTGGGGACACTCTGGAAACACTTGGGGGAGGCTACGGGTCAGTTCACAAGGGATGCATTTCCAGAGAAGCCCATTCCCTCAGGAGTCTCTCCCCAGCCTGCTGTGTGTCCGGCACACCCCTATCAAAAGAAGAGCGCTTCAGGGCAGCCAGCCTCATTTCCTTCACTGCATCTGCAGCCTGTGCCCCACATCCTGTCTTCCTCCACACACTCCCTACACCAGAGCTTCTCTCATCATGCCCCTTCCCCTCTTCCCATCCACTGGGAAGCTGGGAACCCTGGCTCTAAGCTCACTTCTATCCTGGACATACTGGGTGACCTTGAGTGAATCCCTTTCCCTCTCTGGGTCTTAATTTCCTCATGTGTGCAGTTAGGGTGGAGGGAAGTGTTGGCTGAGTTGGATTCTAAAGTTCCTTCCATTTCTAAATGTCTGATTCTGGTTCTGTTTCTTAGCAACTTCCCACTGCCCTGTGGGGAGCTCCAGGCCTCCATAGCATGGCTCCCCGCTGCCTGGTGCCCCTCCCCACGCCCTCTCCCCTCTGCATCCTCCCGTCCCTCCCCATCTTCCCTGATCCCCTTTCTTTTCATAGCTGTCTCAGTATTTAATTCCATCAGAACCCACAAAGGCATAGGCAATTGTTCTCATTCTGCAGATGAAGCCACACTTCTGCTGTCTTGGAATTCATAGGGAAGGGGGGCTCCTGGGTCCCTCCCTTGGCCAGCCCAAACAGACCTGCCACCCGCAGCCAAGTGACCACGTCTGTGAGCTGCAGCTGCATCAAGGGCAACTGAGAGTGCTTGCTGTAAGGTGTCTGTGAGCTCAGCAGCCTGGAGCTCTGGGGCTTCTCCCTCTGGTGTCTGGCCCAGAGTCACAGCTCCAGGGAACTCTGATTCTAATCCCACTTTCCAGATTATTCTGCCAAAACAATGCTTTCCTCCTCCTCCTCCTCTGACTCTGCAGCCCTCTACCAGAGGCTCCTTGGCTGTCCTGTCTGTCCAGTAGCTAACCCTCTCCTCCATGCTGCTATTGCAGATTTTTGCTGGTCTTCAGCTGCCTGGTGCTGTCCGTGCTGTCCACTATCCAGGAGCACCAGGAATTTGCCAACGAATGTCTCCTCATCTTGGTGAGTGCTGGAGTCTGGGTCCAAGGGAGACTGGGGCAGCACCTCTGGGCTGAGGGTGAAGGTGGGGAGAAGTTTCTCATACTGTGGCTCAGAGAGTGGCTTGCTGTGCTGTGTTCCCTGAGCTGGTGGCTGCCCCTCTCTGGGCTTCATCCCATGTTTTATGCAGGTGTTGGGAGAGTTCTTGCCTCTATGCCAGGGCTTATGATGGGCCCAGAGAAGAGAAGAGGAGGCCCACTCCTCATGACCAAAGCTGCTAACTACACCCCTGTTGTGATGGGGTTTTTTCCCCCTCAGCAGAAGCACTTCAGAGGGGGACAGTGACTGACAACCAAACCACCCCTTATGTCACCTGGTCAGGGTTACAGACTTTGGGATGGCTGGGAGGGAGAGGGTGGGGCGAGAAGCAGGAAAACCTAGACAGCTAATGGGGATAGCAAGGGAGGACAGACTTGAGCTTTCAGTCTCTTTGGTAGACATGGGAGAAGACACCTGCCTTCTGGAATCCCCTTCAGGTCCATCCAGGTGTAAGGACCTCTGGGAGACGTGGTCTGAGGAAATCCTAAAACCCCTAATCCAGGGACTCTGGGCTGGGTGGGTGTTGTGTCATCTGGGCCCTGGTCCTGAGGTGTGGGGACCAGAACCTAGGCACCTGGGCCCACAGGAATTCGTGATGATCATCGTGTTTGGCCTGGAGTACATCATCCGCGTCTGGTCCGCCGGGTGCTGCTGCCGCTACCGAGGATGGCAGGGTCGCTTCCGCTTTGCCAGAAAACCCTTCTGTGTCATCGGTAATGGGCACATCACCCCGCCCACGCCTTACCCTCAAGCCCCAGGGCTAACACCCTCACCCTATCCCTGACCCAGACCCTGGCTGCTGACACAGACTCAACGGACATTTCCAATCCCTCCCATGGCCCCAGGAACCCCCCCGACCTCGGGTCCAGGCGCTGGGTAGGTTGGCTCCCCGGCACTGGCCGTGACCTTGCTCCTCCGCCCTTCCCCGCCCCCTTACAGACTTCATCGTGTTCGTGGCATCGGTGGCAGTCATCGCCGCGGGCACTCAGGGCAACATCTTTGCGACGTCTGCGTTGCGCAGCATGCGCTTCCTGCAGATCCTGCGCATGGTGCGCATGGACCGCCGCGGCGGCACCTGGAAGCTGTTGGGCTCAGTGGTCTACGCGCACAGCAAGGTGAGGCCGGGCCGGGGCGGGGCCGGGGCAGCCGAACAGGGAGGGCGGGGCCGAGCCGAGGGAGAGGTGAGAGAGTGACGAGGGACCCAGTGCCCGGAGGCCGAAGGGGCTATCTCGGGGATTGGGCAGGGGCGGGGTCTGGGGTTCTGGGCCAGGCCAGGAGGTGGGGCCTGAGGGGCAGGGCTTGCGGGGCTCACTTGGAAGCTTCTGAGTTGGGGGTCTACGCTCACAACAAAGTGGGGAGCTGGGGCTGAGTCTGAGGGTGAGGATGGGGCGGGACAGGATGTGGGGCCGGATCGACGCTTGAAAGTGGGGCTTGGGTGGCAGGGCAAGGTGGGCTTGGGGGTGGAGAACTGAGCGTGGAACCTGGAGGGTCAAGGGCAGGGCCAGGGCGTGCTCTGAGATTTTGTGTTGGAGGGCGTGGCCGGTTAGGGAAGGCGGAACAGGGTCTCCTTGGAGGGAGTTGCTGGGAAAAGAAAAGCGGGCAGAGCCGCCGCCTGGGACCTCCGAGAGGCTGGGGTTCTCATCCCCTCCCGAACACCCCTCATAGGCCATTCTGGGAGCCTCCCACCTCCCCGCCTGTGCTAGGTGGGCACAGCGTTCCCCATTTCCTCACCACCTCTGCCTCGGTGCTCCCTGTGGTCTCACGTGTTGCTGCCCCCGCAGGAGCTGATCACCGCCTGGTACATCGGGTTCCTGGTGCTCATCTTTGCCTCCTTCCTGGTCTATCTGGCCGAGAAGGACGCCAACTCCGACTTCTCCTCCTACGCCGACTCGCTCTGGTGGGGGACGGTGCGTGAGGGTCTGTGCAGGGCCGCCCTTCTCCCTGGGACCCTCCCTAGCATGATCATTGTGATCCTGACCCAGGGACCTGCCCCTGTCCTCTCACCTAGGGCTGGGAACCCTTGTGACCAGCTCCTGTGTTAGCTCCCCAGCTTGCCCCTGTGGACTAGCTTGTGTCCCCATCTAATTCCCCACTTCAAGTCTTTGTGACCTGTACCTCTCCCCTAACAACACTGGGGAGGAGGGATCCATCTATGCCTGTAACCAGCCCCTGTGACAAGTCCTTGTGACCAGTTCCTATGGGGAACCATGGCGACCCCCCTCCCTCATGATCAGGCCCCAGTAGCCTGTGACCCCAACAAGTTCCAGTGGGTTGGCTCCCCATGACTGGCCCTATGGATAACCTGTTTGTGTCCCTAGATCACACTGACAACCATTGGGTACGGTGACAAGACACCACACACGTGGCTGGGAAGGGTCCTGGCTGCTGGCTTTGCCTTACTAGGCATCTCCTTCTTTGCCTTGCCTGCAGTGAGTCCCCCTCTACTTAGGATGGCCCAGGCTGGGGGAGGGGGTCCTAGGGGCAAGGCCGGCTAAGCCCCAGTCCAGTATTTGCATGGGCGGGGAGGGGGGCACCTCAGATGGGCAGGGGCGGGGGCACCTTTGCTGCCTTTTGTTGTCCCCCCACCACCACCGCATTCCCCCAACCATGTCTGTTGTCCTAGGGCATCCTTGGCTCTGGCTTTGCCCTGAAGGTGCAGGAGCAGCACCGGCAGAAGCACTTTGAGAAGCGGAGGATGCCAGCAGCCAACCTCATCCAGGTACAAGATACCCAGGAAGCCCTGGAACTGAACTGGTTTTCTGAGGAGCATTTAACAGGGGACCTGGCCTGATCTGACCTTGAAGGAGAACTCAGGGATGACCACCCCGAGAAACTGACACTTGAGTTGAGAGTTGGAGAATGACTAGGAGTTAATGAGGTGAAGAGGTGAAGGGGGAACATCCAAGGTATGGGAACAGCATGTACAAAGGCCCTGTGGTGAAAGGGAGCAGGGTGTGTTTGAGGAACTGGAAGGAAGCTAGTGAGGCTGGAAAAGAAAACTCAAGAAAGAGCGTACAGCGGAAGGGGTTGGAGAGGCAAGTGAGGCCCAGACCTGAGGGCCGCAGGGTCCTGAGTTTAACATTTTCCTAAGAATACTTGAGGAACCACTGACAGGTAGGAAGCAGGAGGAAGGGGTGACCTGATCAGATTTATGTTTTGAAAAGCGGTGAGTGGATTGGAGGGTGATCCAGGTGTCTGAGGAAACCAGATAAAAGGCTCTGGCAACGGTCTAGGTGAGGCAGGTGCTGGGTGACTTGGACTAGGGTAGCAACAGATGAGATGGAAAGAAACGGGCAGATTCTACATATTTAGGAGGCGAAATTAGTGGCATCAGGAGTAGGGGCTTGCCCCACTGGATGGTGGATAACCCTACTCATTGGATGAGGACCAGATATGGGGCATGAAGAGTGTGAGTTTGGCTGGAGCAGGTAGAATCTGAGGGGCCTCTGAGACCCTAAGGGGGTGTTGAGGAGGCAGCTAGATATACTGGTGCACAACTGAGGATAGGAATGTGCTGGACCTTGTGTGCAGAGGGCGATGAAGCCCCGGGTGTGGGTGCTTCCAGTGGAGGGAGGAAAGAGAGAGGGGAGAAGATGGCCCAGAGCTGGGCTTTTTGGAACCTTAGCATTTAGTGGCTGGGCAGGCCAAACTGAGCCAGCCAAGGATGCAGAAAAAAACGGGAGTGCGTGGTCTCAGTTTCCCGTACAGTCTGAGGCATTCTGACTGGGGCCCGGGCTGAGGCGAGGACTCTGAGTTTTTGTGACTCTGGCACTCAGCCTTGGCTTCTCTCTAGTTAGGGCGTGGCAAGAGAACCCCCTGCGGGAAATAGTTCGGAGAACACTGACACAGCCCACCTCAGCGTGCTCCCCCCTTGCCACCCTCTCACCCCCCAGCTCAGGTCTGATTCACCCTCCCTTATCTCTCCTCCCCAGGGTGGAACCCCCTCTTCATCTCTGCTATCTCCAGCCACCAGCCCAGCCTTTCCTCCTCAGCATCCCTTGGGGCACAATGGCTGCTGTCCCCTGGGAGCTGGTCTTCCGAGGGGCATTGTAGGGGCAGGCAGCTGGCACAGTCCGTGCAGAAAGACAGCTGGTATTGTGGTACCCATAATTAATGAGACAGCTCTGGCAGCTGCTCCCCAGCCCAAGCCAGGGGCCTAGGCAAGCAGGAAGTAAAAATATTCCTGTCTTGGGAAGGTGCCTGGCCAGTGAGGTCAGCATTGGGCAGTCCCTTAAGGACAAGAGGCATCCGAAGAAGCGCCCAGTTCTTCTTTGTCCTGCCCAGCACTTCCCACGCCTCCCTGTCCTCATTGATCGCCCAACTCACAGCCCCTACCTGGCTCTTCTCTTTACCTGGGAAGAGGGACAGTCCTTCCTCTTACCTGACCCTCATCCCTCCTGCTGCAGAGGAAACCCTGCAACTTCATGGATGCCGAGGGGTTGGTAGGTGATGCTCTTTCCTCCCCTCCTCCACCCCATGGGCAGTGACAGGCAGCTGGGAAGGATGGGGTGGGATTATTATTAGTAATAATAATTCATTCCATCAGTATTTATTCCCCAAACATTTGCAGAACATGTGCCAGAGGATACAGTGCTGACCAAGACATAGCTTACAGTCTGAGAGAGAAAGACCATTAATCAAATCCCCAATGAAAAGACATTCATCAGCTGTGGTAACAGGCAATAACAGGAGTGTTTAACAGGGGAACTTTGTATTAAGTGTACTATGTGCCATGCACCATTCTTGGCGTTTAATATACATTCGTCCATTTAGTCCTCACAACACCCTGTTGGGTAATTAGAATTACATCCATTTTACAGATGAGGAGCCTGAGGCCCTGCAGCTTCACTTACTTGTTCATATGAGTAGGCAGCAAAAGCTGGGATTGCAAACCCACTTCTGCCTGACAAAGCCCCAGCTCTTAACTCCCACACTGCAAGGCCCTGGCTCTGACTCTGATACGCTCATCACCTTGAGGAAATCATTTCTCTCCAGGCCTCCGTTTCCTTCTGGCCTGCTGGCGGCTATAGAATTGGAACTAGCCTCTGCCTGAGAACTGGGTTCTTTTGGGGGCAGAGGGCTGGTGAGGGGCTGAGAGCCCTCCCTGATACCTTGGCCCTCACGCCTTTCCCCTTTCTCCCATCCACCAGGCTGCGTGGCGCCTGTACTCCACCGACACGAGCCGGGCCTACCTGACAGCCACCTGGTACTACTATGACAGCATCCTCCCGTCCTTCAGGTAGGCCCGGCTGTGGGGGGTGGGGGGTTGGTGGTAATGCCCCTTGAGGACAAATGGGTGGGACTCAGCCCTGGAGGGTGGGAAAGGGGTGACAGCTCCTATGGGAGCATCTGGGGCTGGCTCTGTAACCCATAGCCTGGAGTGCTCTCTCTGCCACTGTGCTATACCCAGGGAACTGGTGACACTGGACACAGGGCATGGGGAGGAGCCCCGCTCACTGGCTAAGCCCTGGGTCTGGGAGTGCTGGCAGTCTGCGTGGTCACCCAGATTTGATGCCACTCAGGGCAGTGGCCCAGCCAGCTCACTCCCCTCAGTCTGAGTTGGGAGCAGTGTTTGCCAGCCTGGCGTATTGCAGCTGGATAGAGAGAGCAGGGTGTGGGCAAGAACGTGTGGGCCAGGGTTGGGTGCAAGCGCCCACCCATCCCAGCATCCCCATAGTGAATATGTACCTGCTTTTACTGTGCCAGGAAGCAGCCTTAGGGCCCAGAGGTGGGTTCGCTCCACTGGCCCAGGCTGGGGTAAGATTGCATGGGGATGGGCCCACACCAGGGATTATTAACAGCGTCACCAAGATTTGTGTGGCCAGGTTCCTGGCCAGGCCCTGGGGCAGGGATGAAGACCTTGGAGAGTGACTCAGTCCTGCGGGCAGGCGGGCATCAAGAGCGGCGGGGTGAGGCTGCTGTGTTCAGCGTTTCTGCCCGCGCCTTTTTTGCCTCATTTGTTCTCCAAGAGCAGCTGTTGCATGATCCCACTCACCCCTGCACCTGGCTGCCCCACTCCCTGCTCCTTCCCAGCCCCAGGGGCTTCCCAGGGAAGGAGCAGGAGAGAAGGGGCTGGTGGCGGGGGTGGGGGGGTGCTCCCAGAATCACACTGGTTCCCCTCGTCTCTCCACCTGGCAGAGGCAAGCTCCCACCTCACAGACAGGGATGGTGGCTAGATTAGAAGGAGTCATCCTTTCTAGAAGTAGACCTAAGGACTCAAGGCCAGGCCTGGAGGAGGGGGGCAGAGGCTAGTTTCTTAGAAATATGTGTGTGTGATAGGGAGGGACGATTTGGAGAGTGTCCTGGGTCCTCTGGTAAGATGGTCAGAGCTTGGTTTGAAAATTCTGGACCCAGAGGGGAGGGTATATAGCTCAGTGGTGGAGTACATGTTTAACATGCATGTGGTCCTGGGTTCAATCCACAGTACCTCCATTAAAATTGAAATGAAATAGAATAGAAAATTCTGAGTCCTGCTCCCTGGACCTCAGTTTCCTCATCTGTACAATGGGAAGGGAGAGAGGGAAGATATCCTCCTTGGGTTATGGAAACAGGAAATGGCCTGGAGAGGGACGAAACTTAGTCTCCAAGAACCCAGCCGCAAGAGCGAATGCTGCAGGAGAAGGAAGCTGGGCTGCCGCATTGAGTCTCCCTCCTCAGCCTCAGTTTCCCCCTAAAATCCAGTCAGATCTGGACGGTGAGGAGTTCAGGGCTGCCACTGGCCTCCAGGTGGGCACAGCTCCATGTCCAGGCGCTCGGCTTGCTGAGCAGAGAGTAAGCTGGATTTGAGGTCCCCCTGCCCCCGTGTGAGGGTGCCCATCCTGCACCGTCATGCTTGGCATCCCTGAGAGTTCCCAGGAACTGAGTGTAGAAAGGGAGGGAGGAAGGCTTGTCTCCCACCCACATCCCTGCCTATGCAGGCCTGGGGTGTTTGCTGAGCATCTCCAGAGAGGCAGGGCCTGGCAGGGTCTGAGTCAGGAGCTGAGGGGCCCTGGCATGAGGAGGTGGTGCCAGGGCCCTGCCTGCCGCTGATGGCGCCCTCTCCTGCAGAGAGCTGGCCCTCTTGTTTGAGCACGTGCAACGGGCCCGCAACGGGGGCCTACGGCCCCTGGAGGTGCGGCGGGCGCCAGTACCCGACGGAGCGCCCTCCCGTTACCCGCCCGTTGCCACCTGCCACCGGCCAGGCAGCGCCTCCTTCTGTCCTGGGGAAAGGTAGGGGCCCCCTGGGGCTGCCACCTCCTCTTGCTTCTTCTCCTCTTTTTCCATTCTTTGTCTCATCCTCTCTCAGACCTGTTTCCAGCCACTATGTGGGTGTCTGGGCCTGTTCTGGGGACTCCCAGGCCTTGTCATGAGGCCTGGACAATTGTCGTCGGATGGCTCTACAGGTACAGACTGAGAGTCTTTCTGGAGAGGCCAGAGTTGACTCACGTTTTGTCACCTGGGGCTCCAAGGGTCTGAGTTGGGGAGAGGTCCACACCGTCCTTCCCCATCACCTCCTCCATTCATTCCATTGTCCTCTTTCTTTCTCTGTTTCCACGTCCCCCTCACTCTTCCATCCCTGCACCCCCATCCCTCCCGGGAAGCTGGAGAGAGGAGGAGGCCACTGGCCACAGGTGCTTACGGCTCAGGTAATCGTGGGCACCAGATGGGTGTGAGGGCCCCTTCCCCAGCATGTTCCTCTAGAAGGGGCTTGACACTGAACTCGCCTCTTGGGAACGAGATACCAGCTGGAAAGAGAGCTCTGTGACTAAGAACTGCTGTAGGGCCTATGTAAACTCAGCCAATGACTAATGCTCTTGTCTTGTGCAACCCTTGTCTGCAGCTTTTCTAATCCCAGAGGGTCCTCCTGGGATTCTCCCACAATGCCTTTCTTCCTTACGGAGGGACATTTTGCTGTTCCAACAGTCTCTTTCCCCTTGATCTGCCTCAGTTTTTGCATCTTGAAAGAAGAACAAAGAAAGAACAATGCTTACCCCCATGTAAATATTCATAAATAATGGAATTTCAGGTATATTTGGATAAAGAAGCCCACTAACTCACAGTATGGAAAGCAGCTACTCCTGTAGATGTGTAACTTTGAGGTCAAGGATTCAAATTGCCCTTCAGTCATACCCTGTTCACTATCAATCTGTTTTGTCTCATCTTTACATATCATCCCTGAATCAGCCAAGTGGACATATGGGCCTTGAGCCTCAGGTGTGATTCTGAGGCCCAGGCTCAGAATAAGGGAGAGGAGAAGAGGTGAACCACTCAGGGTTCAGAAGGAGGAGGTGCAGTGAAAGCTTGCCTCTGCTGCCTGATGCTGTGTGTCCTTGAGAAAGTCATCAGGTCACTCTGAGCCTCCGGGTTCTGGGCAGAAAATCAGCAACAGTTAGGCTGATCAGGGGCTCTGGGTTCTCTGGGTTTCTCGGCTGAAAAGGCCTGGGAAACAGGGAGGAGGGGGGTCTGGTGCAGAAGATGCTGGGAGCAGAATTCCTTTTCAGGTCTCAGGGAGGGCCAGGGGCTGAACAGGATGTGGATAGAGAGGGAGGGGCCCTTCCAGGTCTCTGGGGGAGGGGAAGCATAGTTGGTTAGGCCAGGCTAGGAGCTCCCTGGAAGAGGGTCCACAGTGGGGCCCCTACTTGTATTCTTTGTCACTACCTGAAGGTCCTACAGTGTTGTCTCTATCCCTCCCCAACCAGGGCTTACAGGTAGAAACCCAAAAGTTTTGGCTTTTGAGCAACCTTGCCCAGGGCCTGAGCCAGGGCTCTCTGTAGCTTCAGTTCCCTCTGGTTTCACTTCACCTGAGTAAGGGAGTTCTGGGAGTGGAGATTATCCTGGACCCCAGCACCTGTACCACCCCTCACAGTGGCTCTGGGTCTCTGGACTCCTGAAAGCCTAGGAACAGATGACCGCTGAGGACTTGGCCATCACTAACTCCCAGCCTTGTGTCTGTCTGCCCTGCAGTGTCTGTGTGACTGCGCTCATGGTGATGGTGGTGGAGTGTCCCTTCTTCCCAGGCACCCCCGGGGCCTGAGCTGTGATTTCTAGGCGATCAGGCACCAAGCTCAGGCCAAATGGCCTTATCCTTAATCTCTGCTGTGTGAGCCCCATGGGGTGGGTGTCCAAGACAGGATCCCCCACAAAACCCACACACATACACACACTCATACACACACCTGGTTGGCCACACAGTGAGTATCCTTGTAGATGGACTAAGGTTGAGCACATTCCCAGGACTGCAAGGAGCAGGCTTCCTGAGGGATGGCATTGGGGCCAGCACCTCCCCTCTATGGGGTTTTTGTGATGAGTGATAAGATAGTGGTTCTCAAAGCATGGTCCACTGACTTCCTGCATCAGCATCCCATGGGACGTTTGTTCAACATGCAGATACCTGGACCTCTCCCCAAGCCCATGGAATGAGAATCTGGAGAAGGGGCATAGAGTTCTGCATATTTAACATGCTCCCCAGGAGATCCTTATGCAAAGCTTGAGAACCTCTGTATTCTGGGCATGTGGGCTGGAGGATGATTTCGTGTGTGTGTTAGGGGGGTCCTTCTCTCCCACCAGCCACAGGAAGCCGGCCCCATCCTGGCAGCTCCCCAGGCTCTGCCCACCTGCCTCCTTCCCACTAACCTCTGTTTGTGTCTTGTTCTCAACTTTCCAGCCAGATGTTTAGTAATAAACGGAGTTTCTTTCGGATCCACGCCAGCTGGAGACCGAGGTACCCCCTCACCTGCTCCTCCTGTCCCCACTCCACCTTGCCCCACCCAGTTCGGGGGCTGGAGAGGGGGACAGAAGGAGCCAAGGACAAGGTGCATGTGCCTGCCGCCTGCCGTCTGCCTTGGGGCCCTGAGGAGCCCCCCATCTTTCTGGGGATGCCTCTGCCAGGTCTGGGGTCATGGGCCTGGTGTCCAGTCTGCCAGGAGGAACACCTACAGGAGCCTTGGGCTCTGCCGCTGACCTCTCCCTGCGTGATCTTGGCCAAATTGCTTCCTTTCTCTGGACCTCAGTTTCCCATCTGTGGAATGGGCAGATTGAACTAGAGGCTCTCTGAGGGTCCTCCCCACTCTGACTTTTGCCAGGCCTTAGATTTAGCTTCCTGGCTCCCCACTGCACACTGGGACCTAGCAGATGCCCGAAGGAGCTGGGATTGGTGCCTCCTTTGCTAACTCCGGGACCCAGTTCTTTTAGCTGCATCACCCCTATGTTCCTCGGTAACTGCCCTGGGCCAGGCCCCCAGTAGGAACACAGTGGTGAATAAAATATGGTGCCTAGAGATGTGCAAAGAGCAACTGCTGTTCGATGTGATGAGCACAACGCAAGGAGGAAGCAGAGGGGCCGTGGAGCTTGGGGCAGGCATGTCACCCAGAGGGTGCCCCCAGAGGTGTGGCCAAAAGATCCAGTGCACACCAAGGTAAGGAGGTGAGAGAGGGCACAGCGGTGGCAAAGAGCAGGCAGCCCAGCGTGGCCAGATCTGAGAGCGGGAGGTCGGGAGCTGAGGCTGGGTCATGAAGAACCCAAAAGCCCCTAGTGAGCTTTATCCTGCTGGAACTGCCTGGCAGCTTGGGCTCACGGAGTCCTGGGTTTCCCAAAGTGCCTTGGGAGCCTTGTGGATCGGGGAGCCCATGAGGAAGACATGGGTGACAGAGCTCCTGGCTGCTTTCCCAAGAAGAAACCACTGTTTCTTAGAAACGTGGGTTCTGGATCTAAATGTGGCGAGGGGACCTTGGGCATAAGCCCTCTGTGCCTCCGTTTCCCCAGGTGTAAAATGCAGAGGATAATAGGCTCTGCTTCCGCTCAAACTGCGCCTGGCTCAGAGGAGGTACTGTACAAATGCTAGCCTCATGCGATTTGACATGTTATGATATGCACTTGGAAACCATGGCTGTAGGACACAGGAACATGCTGAGGGCTAAAGCCGAGGTGTCTCTGGGTCAGATCTGTCCCTTTGCAAGATTCCTTTGGCTGTGTTGGCATCGGGGGGCAGGAAGGGCAAGGTCAGGGCAGAGAGGCCAGCGATGCAGCTGTTCCTGCAGTTCTGAAGAGAGGGGCTGTATGCAGGGGTAGGGTAGGCTGCCTCTGGTCCCCCATGAGCTTGGCTTTTGGCAGGCCGATGGAGTCCTTACAGAAATCCCTGTGGAAGTTGAGCCGGGGTGGGGTTGGGTCCAGCAGGGCAGTCAGAGGGCAGTTTGTGCCCCGAGCTCACCCTCTCCAACAGGGCAGCCCCAGTCAAGCCCACATATCCGATCCCTGATTGGAAAATTCTTTGTTGTTGGGGGCTGTCACATGCACTGTTCAGCATGTTTAGCTGCATCCCTGGCCTCTACCTAGATGCTAGGAGCACCCCTCAGTGTGACAACCAAAACTGTCTCTAGCCAAATGTCCACTAGAGAACAAAATAGCCCACAGCTGAGAACCACTGCTGAGACCCTATCCTGGTAGCTTGCCCCAGAGAAAGAACACAGTCTCTGAAGTCAGAGCAAACTGGGTTCCAGTCCTTGCTCCCTCCCGAGGAGCTCTATGACCTTGGAAGCTGTGTCCACATCTATAAAATAGGGGTGGTGACTATAGAACCTGCCACGTGAAGTGTCTGAGAACACCGAAAGGGCTCAGGCAGTCAGGTGGAATCTTGTGTGTTCCAAGGAGCTTGGGAGGGGAAGAAGCTCTTTCGATGTCCACTGTGTGTCAGGTTTCTTTCCATTTTCGTTGAGCTTTTAAGCTCCAGAGAGGCTAATGTAAGCCATTTTCTGGGCCCTGCCCAGGGAGCTGGAATCCAGGGCCACCCCTGGGAAAACAGTGCCTTCTTACCCTGAAGAGGAGCCCAGGGTCTCTGGTTGGTCAGAAAGATACAGAACCCCACAAACCAGGCTGGAAGCTCCATCAACCATCACCGAATCAGAGCTGGAGAGGGACCTTTCAAGACCTCTAGTGCAAGCCCCCAGACCCCTGCCTTCCTAAGTCCTGCTGAGTGCAAGCTCAGTCTTGCTTGCACACTTCTTGTGACAGGGAGGTCATCCCCTTCCCCCCGAACACCATTGGAGTGACGTGCCGGGTGCAGAGATCCAGAGTTACTTGCCCTTGGCTGAGTGTCAGGTCCCTTTCCACCCGTCTCTTCCTCTGCCCCTTGGAGGAGTGGAGGACAGAAAGGGGTTGCACGGACCAGCAGGGGTGGGGGGTGCTTGCCCGCATGAGGAGAGCCTGAAGGAACAGCTTTGCAGAGAAAAGTTTGGGAGAGCCAACCTCAAACTTTGGTTGGAATATTTGGGATGTGTGGAGGGGATCCTGGGCCAGCAAACAGCATGCTGGATTGTGGGGGCCACCCCATCCTTCCCTTCTGATATCCTCAAGGGCCCCGTCCTCGACCTATAACCTCTCTCCTCTGGGCAGAGGTCCCTACCCCTGAGGATGGCCCTACATCCCAGGTTCCTTCCCAAAAGCACCTTCCAAAGGTGCCCCTGGTTTCAAGATCTCCCTTACCTCAGCACCTTGGCCCTATACCCTGTCCCCCATGCCCTGGGCATGGAGGACCCTGGCTCCCACTCTGTCCTGAAACCAGAATCTGTCCTCTGATCAGCCCCTGATCTGAAAGTCCCTGAGACTAGGTGACACGGTCTCTTTCCTCAGCCCTGCCCCACCTCAGGCCTCCTCCAAGACTGGCTGGTGCTCTCCTGAACCAGGGCCCTGGATATTTGGGGCACAAGGGCCCCAAACCTGTCTGAAGGGGGCCCTTCAAGTGGCAGGTCACAGCAGGGAGGCAGCAGGGACACCACGGGGCATGGGATGGAGATGTTTGCATAGGTCCTATTCAAACAGCGATAACATGGTCCTTGAACCTCTTGGACACAGAGTTACTCTACCAGGTACTGGTTAAGCAGGGCCTGTCCTGGGGAACCTGAGGCGTCCCCTCACCTGTCTTCCTCCAATATTTGGGGGATGGGAGGGGAGTTGGGGTGTGGGAAGGGAAGTCTGACAGCACACGCAGACATGCACACGTGTGTTCACACGCACAAGGCTTCTGTAGGTGTTGTTGAACTGTGGACTCAGGAGGCAGTAGAGAGGTCACATGGACAGGACATCAGTCCAGATGGGCAGAGCTTAGGCGGGAAGACCACAGAAGAACAGGTTACAGATCTTCACTGAGAGGGTAGGCACCAGGCCTGGCCTGGGCATACATGTGGGCCCTGCAGCTACACTCACACGGCCAAGACCCCCAGCAGGCCGGTACACTGCATACCTCCAGCGTGCACAGCATTTACACTGAAGTCTGAGTGACAGAGACCTTTGGAATTTTGCAGTGCACTGGCTATGCAACTGTACCAGGTCCTAAAGCCCTGACCTGACCAGTGTGGGGTCAGATAGCTCCAGTAGTCATCCAAGGAGGAAAATATAAATCGACACGTGTACAGAGATGACAACATATGTACACACGCTGGCACCTGTGTGATGCAAGCACACACATACCCTCAACTCCATACAGCCTGCCCCTGTGTACAGGGAGGAGCTGGGGGTTACCTCAGTGTGCACGGCCAAGGGAGATGCTCCATCCCTCAGTAGCCTGTCTGTGCCCAAAGGGGTCACCACCTCCACCCACCCACCCGCCTGGGTCTGGCTTAACTCCCCTGTCCTCCTGTCTGTCTCTGATTCCCTTCTTGGGTTTCTGTCACTCCTTCCACTCTGACATCTGTCTCCTGTGCACCCCTTATCTGTCTGGGCAATGAGAGGTGGGAGGTGGGGGTGGATCGGGGAGCTGTTCAGACTGACTCTGGATCAACTCATAGGAGTCAGGGCCCCCCCTCATCACACCGTTGTCCTATCCCAGGAAGTCTCCCCTTGGTGGAGAATCAGCCCCAGTAGCCACCCCCAAGTACTAAGTCAGCTGTGTCCCCACTCATACCCGCCCCCAGCCCTGGCTGACTTGGCTCTCCCCCTGCCCACCCTGCCCTGCCAGCAGCCGGATGGGCATCAAAGACCGCATCCGCATGGGCAGCTCCCAGCGGCGGACCGGCCCCCCCAAGCAGCACCTGGCACCTCCGCAGATGCCCACTTCCCCGAGCAGCGAGCAGGTGGGTGAGGCCAGCAGCCCCACCAAGGTGCAGAAGAGCTGGAGCTTCAACGACCGCACCCGCTTCCGGGCCTCCCTGCGACTCAAACCCCGCACCTCTGCAGAGGGTGAGCATGTCTGCGGGCAGGACCCGCTGGGGGGGCAGGGCGAGGAGTCTGAGCTCGGGGTAGAAACACTTGGTTCTAGTCCCAGCTCTGCAACAGACTGACCATCTTCGGGCACCAGTCTTCTGATTTGTGAAGTGGGGGTCATACTACCTGCTTGGCTGGTCTCCAGCCTGAGAATCAAAGGAAAATGGAGAGGCAGCATTTGGTAGTGGGTAAGAGCACAGGCCTTGGAGCCAGGCTGCCTGGGTTTGAATCCGAACTTTGTCACTTATCTGAGGCAGGTAACCTCATGTCCCTGGGCCTCATTCTCCTCCTCTGTAAAATGGAGCCAATAATCATACTGACTTCAGAGGACTGTTGTGAGGATTAAATGAGGTTATCCACAGAAGGTGAACAGAAGAGTTTTGGGATATAGTAAATGCTCCACAAAAGCTAGCAGCCTTACACGCATGCTCTGGAAGGAGCAGGAGGCCATCTTTGCTGAACTGAGCCCCGACTGTGAGCAGCCCCACACGGGATTATCTCCTTCACTTCTCTCAATGAACCTGGGAAGTGGGGTCTGTTTCTAGCCCCATTTTACGGATGTGGACACTGAGATCTCTCAGCTAGTAAGTGGCAGAGCTGCTATCCTCAACCAGATCTAGCCCATGCTTCCCACCTTGTGCCTCTTTGCCTGCCCAGCCTGTGAATAGGAGGCTGTGAATCTGGTGAGGGTTGCTTTTAACCAGTTGGAGAGGTCACTTTTTTGAGCTCTAGCTCTGCTCCTGACTTGCACAGTGACCTTGATAAGACACTTCCCCTTTCTAGGCCTCAGTGTCCTCTTCTGGAAAACAAGGGAGTTGGAGCCAAGTCCCCAGAAAGGCTTCTCCCAGCTTTGACATGCTTCAGGCCCCTGGGTGGGAAAAGGAGGGGGTGGCTGGACAAGGATGGAGGTTGGGGACAGGAAGCCTTGGAGGGAGGGGACCCAGCCATGCTGCCTCTGTCTGTGCTGTATCAGCCCCCAAGATGCTGCTGGCGGACAACTCAGACAGCCTTTCCTGGAAAGTTACAGAATCCCCACAAACTGGTCTTTGGGAGGTGCTGACCCAGGGGCGCCTGGGCATGGCTAGCGTCCAGGGCCTCGTCTGCCCTGCCAAGAAGCTGCCTGGCCCCCCGTCCCCTCCTGCCCCTGTGACGCCAGGATAGCATCACTTCTCCGTGCAGCCTCAGAGAAGCCATTTCTCTCACCCCGGGGGGAGAATGACTTGCTCTGGGGGCTTCCCCAGTAGCAGAGCTGGGCGTGGGAACCTGCCCTTTGCTTCCCTCTCGGGTGAAGGACAAGGCTCTGTGTGTGATTATGTGCAGAGGCCTTTAGCCCCTTGTCTCTGGGGCTCACTGTCCTGCGTAGTGGGACTGGTGGGATGTCCTCCAGGGCTATGTGCTGTTTGCCAGGGGCCAGACCAGATGTGCCCTAAAGTAGTTCCCACTCACTGGCCACCAGGCAGATGTTTATACAGGGCAGATGGCATGCAACGAACCGAGGTTTCTCACCCTGGGTAGGGCAGCCAGAGGGCTAGGAACCTGATCTGCCTTGTGCCCCCTGGAAGGTTCTGGGCTCTTCCTGGAACTCTGTCACCCTCTCCGTCCCTCTAAGGGTGGTGGTAGGGGTTGAGAGTGGCCCCTTCTGCTGCCACCACCTGGGCTCCCTACCTCCTACTTTTCAGAGGGCCCCTCGGAGGAAGTGGCAGAGGAGAAGAGCTACCAGTGTGAACTCACAGTGGATGACGTCATGCCCGCGGTGAAGACGGTCATCCGCTCTGTCAGGTGAGACTGAGGCCGGAGGTGGGCCACCCACTGCTGCTCCCCATCTGGGGCCTGCCCTCCTGGCCAAGCCTGGCCTGGCTCCCCGCATGCCAGCTGCTGTCTGCCTGGCACCCTCAGCGGTGCTGGCTGGGGGAGCCCTGGGGAGTGGGTGGGGTGGGGAGGTGGCATATGGCCCCCAGCAAGGTTTGTGCAGACTTATTGCGTCTGGAGTGCAGGAATGTGGCTGCCCATCACGGTCCCTCTGCTCACACCCGCAGTGTCCTCTCTGCTTCTCTCCCCTTCCTCTCTTTCACTTCGTGTCAGGGGCTCTTTATTTCTCTCTCTCTAGCTGTGTATCAGCATCTGCCTGTCTCTGCCTGGGTCTCTGTCTCATGCGCAGTTTCCCTCCATCTCTGTGTCTCACTCTCACCCTCCGCTGGCCTCTGTGACTCACACTTTCTTTCCTTGGGTGTCCTGACCTCAGCCTGTCTGTTTCCCCCAGGACTTCCTCTAGAATAGTACTTTTCAAACCACAGGTCACAATAGTTTGAAATCAACTTAGTGAAATCAATTTAGTGGGCCATGGTCAGCATTAAAAAAAAAGAAGGAGAATAGAAAATATCAGAGGACATCTCTCATAGTAAGGAGAAATAATGTTTATGAAACTTCTATTTCAGTTGGGTGTGTGTACTGTTTCTGATGTAAAATGTATTTTTTATGGTGGGTCTTGGTCCAAAAGTTTGAAAGCCCTTGCCCTATTGGCTCTACTGGATGTCCCCCTGCCTTGACAATTTAGGGGGGACCAGGGTCTCCTGAGTCCTTTAGCCTCAGCAGCCATGGATCTGGCCCCTAAACTCCTCGGAATGGAGGTCCGGCCTAGTCTCTGGCTCCACCCTGTAACTCACCTTCACCCCTTCACACCTTCCAGACTCACCTCCTCTCCTCCCTGGAGATTCACCTGCCCACATGCCTCTTTCCTCTGTGTTCCTTTTAAATCAGAGTCAGCTGGACATCCCCTACTGCTCCCCAGGGAGTCTGAGACCTCTCCCCACTCCCTTTTTACATATTCTGTTTCTCCCCTCCAAGCTTCTGGAACACAATACCTGAGTGCCACCTGGCTCAGGTCAGCTCTCCCTGTCCATCCCACAGACCCCCCATACCCAACACCCCGTCTTGCTCCTCCTCCCATGTCTCCATGCCAGGCACTGGCACTACCACCCCCCGCCCCATGCCCCAAGCCATGGGAGTCATCCTAGATTAGGAAGCCTTTCAGTCCCCTCTCCTGAACTGTTCAAAGCTGGCCCACAGCTGAACCCCTCTGCCCCCTCCCAGCTCAGGTACATTCCCCAGAGCGGAGCTGGTCTTCCGGCCAGGCTGTCCCTCCAGGGCATCCTCCACACAGGCAGGCAGAATGGACCTTCTAAAGCAGAGTAAACCACACGGCCCCTTCCGCACCTCCCCAACTTCCCATTACCCAGTCTCTGCCAGGGGTTCGGGGCTCTTTGGAGTACTCCCCTTCCACCTCCCTTACCTCCTGGGGGTTAACCCCTTTCCTTCACGTCCTGTCGTGGCTACTTTGAACGACCCTCCCTCACACACCTCCATGCCTCTCTGTGTCTGGAAAACCTCCCTGCATCCCTTTCCTCTTCCTGCCCTGGCGTTGGAAAGTATTACTCTCAAGACTTGTACCCTGACCTCCCCAGCCAAGCTCTCCCTTCTCATGGTCCCCAGTCCTCTTTCTCCATTCCTTGACATGGCCCTTGTCATCCCATAATTGTCTGTGCCTTCTCCATCTCCCACCTCAGACCAGTGCTCTTGAAGCCAAGGATCAAATCTGATGCCCTTTTGGGTGTCGAGGGTCCAGCAGAGCAGTGCTAACAGGCATATGCAAAAAAAATGTCTTCCCCTAAGCTGTCATCAGGCAGTGTTGACTGGTGCCTGCCCTGTGTCCCACCTAGCAGAGAGAAACCCGGCCCAGTCCCTGCCCTCCCAGGTGACTGCAGATACAGGCACAGTAAAGAATACCAAACAAACTTAGGGGGCCGGGCAGGAGTGTGGTGGGTAGGTAGGGAGGCTGGAGACCCAGCAGAGGCTGTTTGTGGTGGCCCAAACAGGAGGTGCTCTGGTGCTGGACAAAGTAGCAAAGGGACACAGAAGGGGCTGGAAAAGAATCCCTTCCCTCTGAGACCCTCTCCCCTACAGGATCCTGAAGTTCCTGGTGGCTAAAAGGAAGTTCAAGGAGACTCTACGACCATACGACGTGAAGGACGTCATCGAGCAGTACTCAGCAGGGCACCTGGACATGCTGGGCCGTATCAAGAGCCTACAGGCCCGGTGAGTGCACTGGTCCCGGACGGGAGAGGGGAACAGGGCGAATGCCTCACCAGCGCCGGGGGTCTGCTCCGGCCCTTCCGCGGGCGCCCGCTCAGAGCCCCGAGCGCCCCCTAGGGGCCGCCGCGGAACCTGGAGTTTCTGGTCTTCAACGCCCTGGGACCAGACTCCGCACCTGTCATTGAACCTAAAGAAACACCCAGCCACAGGTCCTCTGCGAGCTGCACTGACCTGCACACCTCGGGGACGTCTTTAGATGACCTTCCTCGTCCTAAAATAACAGGCTTAAAATAATCAGTGAGCTCCCATCTCCTGAGGGAATAGGCACATTGTCCTCAATGCTGTTCACCTCCTGCCTCCGACATCCTCCAGCACCTCTTCTCTCCACCGGGCACATAGGAAGATTCTCACACCAAGACCCCAATCACCTACACCTTGCCCTCTCCTCTTGTGGCCTGCATTCTCAATCCCCATTCATTTGTCCTCTCAAGAAACAGTCATGGGGCATTTATTACTTGCCAGACAGTGGAGATCTGGTAGAAAGCAAAAGATTCCCTGCCCTCATCGAGCTCTCATTCCAGAGGAAGGAGAACAGATGACAGTAAGTGCAACTAGAATATGTCAGATGATGATAAAGGCTAAAGAGAGAAATAAGGGTTAAGGTGTTGGGGTAATTTTAAATAGGTGAAAAGGTGATATTGAGAAAAAATGGAAGATGAGGCAAACCAGCCCCATGGTTGATGTTTAAACAAAGAGTTTCCAGAGGGGACAGCAGGTGCAAAGGCTTTGAGATGGGCAGGTGCCTTAGGTGGTGTTTCAGGAATAGCAAGGAGCCTGTTCTGGTATGAGGGAAGCAGGAAATGAGGTTAGAAGGTTAATGGCACTTAGACTATGTAAGGCCTTGTAGACCACTGCAGAGATGTTGGCATTCATCCCGAGTAAGATGCGAGAATTGGAGGGCTTTGCACAAAGGACTGATGAGATGTGAGCTATATTTGAAAAGGAGTCACCCTAGGTGCTGTGTTGAGAATGACCTATAAGGAGTTAGAGTGGAAGCAGGGAGACCAGGAAAGGGGCTACTCCAGACATTCAGGCAAGAGATGATGGGGACTTGGACCAGGGTGGAAGCAGTTGAGGTGGGGATGGTCAGATTCTAGACATATTTTGAAGGTAGGGCTGACAAGGTTTTCTGATGGGGTGTGCAGAAAAAAAACGATAAAGCCAAGGTTTTGGCTTGAGCAAGAGGAAAAAGTTGCTGTTTATTGAATGGGGGAAGTCAATGAGTGGAGCAAGTTTCGATCAGGAAAGTTGGGATGTGTGGGGCTTGTGATGCCCATCTGACATCTAAATGGAGTGTTGATCTGGCAGAGGAGTGTGAAGCTGGGAGGAGAGATGCTGGCTGGAGATATAGATTTGGTGTCAACAGTATATAGAGGAACTGAAAATCTGAAACTGAAGACATTACTTAGCGAGTGAGAGTAAATAGAAAAAGAGGTCCCAGGAGTGAGCCCTGGGTCCTGCAATGTTTAGAGGTTGTGGAGATAAAGGAGGAAAGCAGCAAAGGAGACTGAGAAGGAGAAGTTGGTAACACAGGAGGAGAACTGTGGGTGAGAGGGTGATGTTTGGGAATCCACATGAAGAGAGGGCAGGAAAAAGGGGTGATCAGATGTGTTGACCACCACTAATAGGTCAAATATAATGAGGAATGAGAGTTGATCATCGAATTTAGCAATATGGGGGTCATTTGGGATCTTGACAACAGTAGTTTTGGTGAAATGGTGGGAATGAAAGCCTGACTGGGGAGGTTTTAGAGAGAAATTGAAAATAGAGGGTAGGGATAACACTTTCTAGAATTTTGCTGTAACAAAGAACAGAAGAATAAGGTGGGTCCAGCTCCAGCCTTGTCCTTCTAATAACTCATATTCCTACTTGCGATTCTCCCTCCTCCCAGTCCACCCTTTCCTACCTGTCCTCGCATCAGGCGGCTGTTTAACTTGTCCTTCTTGTGTGTGGTGCCTTTGCTCCCACCACACGCAAGCATGTGGTTGGAAAACTCTCAGAGCAGTGGCCGGTACCTCCATTTAACCTGGTCTCCATTTGGCAGAGCAAACTGGCCCCCTGCCTCACACTGCCTGCTCCCACCGGTGCAGGATGTCTCCTCTTTCAGCAAGAAACCTCGAATTCTTGTCGGAGAGAGGTGTGGCCAGTGTCTGGGCCCTTTGACAGTTCCCTTTCCCTACAGGGTGGACCAGATTGTGGGCCGGGGCCCCGGGGACAGGAAGGCCCGGGAGAAGGGTGACAAAGGGCCCTCTGACGCGGAGGCGGTGGATGAAATCAGTATGATGGGACGCGTGGTCAAGGTGGAGAAGCAGGTGAGTGTGGGAGGGAGTTTCGCTGGTATGGCTGAGCTAGTCTAGTCCTCAACCGAGAAGCGCTGGAGGGCCTTGGCGTCAAGCCAAGAAGGGTGCACTTCTCAGAGCCACAGCCCAGAGCATCCGCGGGGTAGGCCCGCGGCCAACCCCGCTCCACAGGAAGCCCGCCGACGTCTGCTAAACGACCCTGATAAACCCACTGTGTCCGGCTAAGGCCGGCCCCAGGTTTCTAGTCTCAGCTAAGTCCTTCTAAGGCCCATCTACTTCATTTAACCCCGCCTCAGTTGTCTTTCTCAATCACCCGGACTATCTCAACCAATCACAATTAAATTTCGTTCGGGGACGAAACCCCAGGTTCCCAGCTTCATTCCGCTCTCCCGCCAACTCTCCGCCTTTCTTGTCACCCCTCCTCCCTGAGGAGCCGCGTCTCCCAGATGCTACCCTCCCCGGGCAAGCCCCGCCTCCCACCTTCTCTTCCCAAGCCCCGCCCCCCGACCGCGTCCCGCCTCCAGCCGCTCCCCACCCCCAGGTGCAGTCCATCGAGCACAAGCTGGACCTGCTGTTGGGCTTCTACTCGCGCTGCCTGCGCTCTGGCACCTCGGCCAGCCTGGGCACCGTGCAAGTGCCGCTCTTCGACCCAGACATGACCTCCGACTACCACAGCCCTGTGGACCACGAAGACATCTCCGTCTCCGCACAGACGCTCAGCATCTCCCGCTCGGTCAGCACCAACATGGACTGAGGGACTTCTCAGCCGCGGGGCAGCACCTGGCCAGCCCCCGGCCCCGGCGCTCGGACCCGCCCTCTGAGGCCTCCGGACTCCTCTCTTACTTGAACTCGCTCCCTCGCGGGAAGAGAGGCCACACGCAGTATTGAGCTGCCTGGGTGGGTGAGATACCCGATATGGGTGCCAGCGATCCGCCCCACCTCAGGAGCGTGAGATGCCAGGCCGCACAGAGGGCAGCAGCGGCGGCTGCCCCTCGGCCTCTGGGACCCCAGTGCCCTGCCCGTTCCATCAAGGCCCGATATGGCCCGCCTGGCAGGGGCACAGCCCCAGCAGTGGGAGCAAGGCGCTGGGGCCCTGGGCCCTGACCCAGCTTCCAGCTATGCAAGGTGAGGTCTTTGGCCCGCCCTTCGGACAGAGCAGGGAAGTCCTCCCGCCAACTCCCTGCCCCACTTGAGGCCCAAGGTGCCCACACAGGTACCCACAAGCACAGGACCCTGCCATAAGACAGGTGGGCACCATATATGCAAACTATGTTAAATATGCAACTTTGGGGACCCCCATGGGGTCTCTGCCCCTCCTCCACTGGGAGATGGGCCCCCAGCAGTAGCTGGTCTCAGGCTGCTTGGCCATGACCCCCATCCCTGATCTTTGGCTTATCAGTCCCTCCCCTCCCAGCATGGGGCCTGTTTCTTCCTTTCCTCCCCAAGAGCAGTGCCTGGGCTTTTCTTCCCATCTGCAGGTGTCCCCTCCCAGGGGCTCCCTCTTTCCTGCCAGATGTTCACTCCCCTCTGGCTATCCACACCTTTGAAAGCACAAGTTTCTGTGTTCTCCCCCAAACCTCCCACAGACAATGCTCCCACGGTCACACAAACATGTCCGTAAAGTTTCCCCAGACACACAGGAAGTCTCTCACACTCACCCTAACACATACGATCACACACACTTGGAGACTTGAGCAAAGAGCCAGCCATTCAGACTTTCCTGGGCCTCTGCAGGCTGATACCAGCGGACTGGCCTTGCAGGGCTATGTCTACTTCTGTCCACCCATCTCTGACATAACCCCAGGTCTCTCTAAGCCCTACCCCAGAGCTTTACCAGCTCCCCTTTCTCAAGATCTGCTTCTCACAGGCCCAGGAGCCCTAACCTCTGCCTCTGCCTGCCCCGAGGGCCCTCCTCAGTGTCCCCACAGCACAACTCAGGCCTAGGCCTCTGGGGCCTGGCATCACTGGAAAGACCCTAGGCTCTTCCCCAGGGTGGTTATCAGGCCTGCTTCTATCTAGGCTTGCCCCTTTCCTAGTCACTCTGACTCCCAGAGAGAATAATAATGCATCTAGCCAGTACCATTTGTCAGGCACTAACTGTGCATATGGCGCTCACATGCACTGTTTCCTCTCCTTCCATACTCCACTTTCCACTTCAATTGGCAGCCTCCATCCACTCCAGGCCCCCAGCGCCTCTTTGGTATCTCTACCCCTTTGTCCCTCTTCTGCAAAGCCAATACAGGTAGCAGGAGGGTGATGGGTAGTGGATCAATGGTGATCTTTTGTGGGGTGCCAGGGAATATGGGGCTCAGGCCCAGCTGCCCGCATCTCATGACTGGGGACCTGCATGCACCAGCGCCAGGGCTGGGGTTGGCTCTTGCTCAGCCCCATGGTGCCCAGCCTCTGCCCCCACATGCCCTCTGCATGTGACCATCATGCCGTGGATGGAGCCTATCCTGGCTCACCTCACCCACTTGCCCTGCACTTGTCCCCAGAGAGCCACGCCCCCGCCCCCTGAGAGACAGAGCTGTGGAGAGGGGCAGGAGAATGGGATCATCCTATGACCAAAGGAGACTTGGGAAGAAGCCCTCCCTCCTTCCACGATCGAGGTTCCCCCACCAACCCGGTTCTCAGATATGCAAGTACCTCACTTTGTTAACTTATTAACTTATTGATTTCATTAAAGTTTTCAGTAGGAGGTGGTTGGTCTTGGCTGTTCACTGTCTGAGGAGTGGGGCATCTGGTCTGGGGGTGGGGACGAGGAGATTTGAATTAATCATGACGCTTGGTTGCAAACAACAAACTCAACCTGATATACTTAAGCAAAAAAGAGAAAAAAGAAAAAAGAAAAATGAGAGAGAAAAGAAAGAAAGAGAGAGAAAGAGAAAGAGAGAGAAAGAAATACAGAAAGAAAAAGAAAGAAAGAAAGAAAGAAAGAGAAAGAGAGAGAAAGAAATACAGAAAGAAAAGAAAGAAAGAAAGAAAGAAAGAAAGAAAGAAAGAAAGAAAGAAAGAAAGAAAGAAAGAAAGAAAGAAA